CCACCTGGCACCATACACAGTTACTACAAATGATTGACTCTACTCCCTATGCTGTACTTCACATCCCCGAGACTATTTTTTTAAAAATATATTTTATTGATTTTTTACAGAGAGGAAGGGAGAGAGGCAGAGTTGGAAACATCAATGAGAGAGAAACATCGATCAGCTGCCTCCTGCATGTCTACTGGGGATGTGCCCGCACCCAGGTACATGCCCTTGACCGGAATCGAACCTGGGACCCTTCAGTCCGCAGGCCGACGCTCTATCCACTGAGCAAAACCGGTTTCGGCCCTGAGACTATTTTATAACTACCAATTTGTACTTCTTAATCTCTTCATCTTTTTCACCTAATCCCCTAAATCCTCCCCCCCTGTGGCAACTATCAGTCTGTTCTCTGTATCTATGAGTCTGTTTCTATTTTGTTTGTTTCTTTATTTTGCTCTTTAGATTCCACACATAAGGGAAATGATGTAGTATTTGTCCTTCCCTGGCTTTTTCACTTAGCATCATACCTCCTAGGTTCATCTATGCTGTTGCAAATTTCCTTCTTTTGTATGGCCAAGTAATATTCCATTGTATGTATGTACCACACCACTCACTTATTGATAGACACTTGGGTTGCTTCTATATCTTGTTTATTATCTATGATCATAAAGCATAATATGCTAATTAGACTGGACATCCTTCTGGACAACCTTCCAGATGAAGCTGGGGCTGTGTTGGAAGCCTGGGTCCCAGGTGCCTGCTGATGGCTGGAGGGAAGCCCGGATCCAAGGTGCCAGAGGGAAGCCAGTGCCGGTAGCCAGGGGAAGGAAGGCCTACTCTTGCAAAAATTTCATGCATTGGGTCTCTAGTATCTATACTAATAATAGCCTAGGTGGTCGTCACGCACTCATGCATCATGTCCTAACGTCATCACAAGATGGCCATCACAAAATGGCCGCAAGCGGAGGCAGGGCCCAGTGGAGGAGGTGGGTCATGGCAGGGGAGGGAAGTTGGGGGTGATTAGGCTGGCAGGGGAGGGCAGTTGGGGGTGATCAGGCTGGCAGGAGAAAGCAGTTGGGGGCGATCAGGCCAGCAGGGGAGCAGTTAGGCGTCAATCAGGCCAGCAGGGGAGTGGTTAGGGGGCGATTATGCTGGCAGGCAGAAGCAGTTAGGGGCAATAAGGCAGGCAAGCAGTTAGGAGCCACTGGTCCCAGATTGTCAGAGGGATGTCTGACTCCCAATCAGGCCTAAACCGGCAGTCGGACATCCCCCAAGGGCTCCCATATTGGAGAGGGTGCACACGAGGCTGAGGGACACCCCCCTTCGTGCCTCTAGTTGTAAATAATGCTGCAATGAACATAGGGGTGCATGTATCTTTTCAAATTAGTGCTTTGGGATTCTTTGGGTATATACCCAGGAGTGGCATTGCCAGGTCATAAGGTAGTTTTAATTGTTTGAGAAACCTCCATATTGCTTTCCACAGTGGCTGCACCTGCATTCACACCAACAGTGCACAAGGGTTCCCTTTTCTCCACATGCTTGTCAACACTTGTTTGGTGATTTACAGATGATAGCCATTCTGACAGGTGTAGGGTGGTATCTTGCGGTTTTAATATGCATTTCTCTGGTGATTAGTGACTTTGGGCATCTTTTTAAATAGCTCTTGGCCATCATCTGTATATCTTGTTTGGAGAAGTATCTATTCAGGCCCCCTGCCTATTTTTAAATTGAATTGTTTGTGTTTTTTGGCGTTGAGGTATCTGAGTTCTTTATAAATTTTTTATATTAACCCCTTATCAGATGTTCATTGCTGAATATATTCTGCTATTCAGTAGGTTGTCTTTTTGTTTTGCTGATGGTTTCCCTTGCTGTGCAAAACTTTTTAGTTTGATGTGGTCCCATTGTTTACTTTTTCTTTTGTTTCTTTTGCCCAAAGAGATATGTCAGAAAAAAATATTGCTAAAAGAAATACCAGAGATATTACTGCCTGTTTTCCCTAGGAGTTTTGTGGTTTGAGGTTTTATATTTAAATCTTTAATCCATTCTCATGTGTGTCATAAGAAAGTGGTCTAGTTTCATTTTTTTGCATGTATCTGTGCAGTTTTCCCAACATCCTATATTGAATAGATGTTCTTTACCCCATTGTATGTTTTTCCTTGCTTTGTCAAATATTACTTGACTATATAGGCATTGGTTTATTTCTGGGCTTCCAATGATCTTTGTGCCTGTTTTTATGCCAGTACCAGGCTGTTTGGATTACAATAGCCTAGGAGTATAGTTTGATATCAGGTAGCGTGATACCTCCAACTTTGTTCTTTCTCAAGATTGCTGTGCCTATTCAGGGCTATTCTGGTTCCATATAAATTTTTGGATTATTTTTTTTCTAGGTCTATGAAACACACCATTGGTATTGTGATAGGAATTGCATTGAATCTAAAGATTGCTTTGGATAGTATGGACATTTTAACAATGTTAATTTTTCCTGTCCATGAGCACAGTGTATAACGTTATTTACATTTTTTGTTCAATTTCTTTCTTCAGCATCTTATAATTTTCCAAATACAGGTCTTTTATCTCCTTGGTTAAATTTATTCCTAGGCTTTTTTGTTTTTTTGAGGCAATTGTAAATGGGATAGTTTTCTTAGTTTCCTTTCCTGATAGTTCATTATTGGAGTATAAAAGTGTCACCAATTTCTGAATATTAACTTTGTAACCTGTTACTTTGCCAAATTCATTTACTAAATCTAGTAGTTTTCTATAGATTCTTTAGGGTTTCCTGTTTACAGTATCATGCCATCTGCAAATAATTATCATTTGACTTCCTCCTTTTCACTTTTGCTGCCTTTTATTTCTTCTTCTTGTCTGTTCGCTGTGGCTAGGACTTACAGTACTATGTTGAATAAGAGTGGTGAAAGTGGACATCCCTGTCTTGTTCCTATTATTAGGGGAAATGGTTTTAGTTTTTCCCACTGAATCTGATGTTGGCTGTAGGTTTGTCACCTATGGCCTTTATTATGTTGATGTATGATCCCTCTAGTCCCACTTTGCTGAGAGTCTTTATCATAAACGAATGCTGGGTTTTGTTGAATGGTTTTTCTGCATTGATTGATATATGATTTTTATCCTTCATTTTGTTTATGTGATATATCGTATTTATTGGCTTGTGAATGTATTACAAACCTTGTATCCCCGGATAAATCCCACTTGGTCATTGTATATGATCTTTTTAATGTATTGCTGGATCCAGGTTGCTCATATTTTCTTGAGGATTTTAGCCTCTATGTTCATAAGGGATTTTGACCTATAATTTTCTTTCTCTGTAGCATCTTTGGAATTAGAATAATGCTGGCCTCCCCCCAAAAAAGCCTGGGAGTCGTACCTCCTCTTGAATTTTTTGACATAGTTGAGAAGGATGGGTGTTAGTTCTTTTTTGAAAGGTTGGTTAAATTTGCCTGTGAAGCCATCGGGTCCAGGACTTTTGTTTGCTGGGAGTTTTTTGGTTACTGCTTAAGTTTCATTAGTTGTTATCCATCTATTCAGGTTGTCAGATTTTTCTTGATAGTTTTCAAAGATTGTATGTTTCTAGGAATTTGTCCATTTCTCCTAGGTTGTTCTTTTTGTTGTCAAATAGTTGTTCATAGTATTTTCTAACAATCCTTTGTATTTCTGTGATGTCAGTTGTTCCTTCACCTCTTTGATCAATTTATTTGGGTCCTCTTTGTTTGAGAGAGGAAGGGAGAGAGAGAGAGAGAAAGAGAAACATCAGTGATGAGAGAGAATCATGATCGGCTGCCCTTGCACGCCCCCTTCTGGGGATCAAGCAGCAACCTAGGCATGTGCCCTTGACTGGAATGGAACCTGGGAACCTTCAGTCTGCAGACACTCTATCCACTGAACCAAACGGGCGGGCGTGTTTCTTGATGAGTCTGGCTAAAGGTTAATCAATCTTATCTTTTCAAAGAACTAGCTCTTGGTTTTATTGATTTTTGTATTTTATTTTTATTCTCTATGTTACTTATTTCTGCTCTGATCTTTATTAATTCCTTCTCCTTATTCTGGGCTTTTCTTGTTTGTTTTTTTATTTTGTTTTTCGTATTTATTTTTTGTTTAGTTCTTTTTATTCTCCAGGTGTAGTGTTAGATTGTTTACTTGAGATTTTTCTTCTGAGATAGGCCTGTGGAGCTATGAACTTCCCTCTCAGGATTGTTTTCACTCTGTCCCATAGATTTTGGGTTGTTATATGATCATTTTCATTTGTTTTTAGGTAATTTTTGATTTCTTGTTTGATAGTAGTATCCCATTCGTTGTTTAATAACATACTATTTAGCCTCCATGTGTTTTAATGTTTTGGTTTTTTTTAATATTACAGTTGATTTCTAGTATCGTGCCATTGTGATTCAAGAAGATGCTATATAAGATTTCAATCTTCTTTTATTTGTTAAGAATTATTTTCTGTCCTAACAATGGTCTATCTTTGAGAATGTTCCTTGTGTTCTTGAATAGAATGTATATTCTGCAGCTTTGGGATGAAATGTTCTGTAAATATCAATTAAATCCATCTGATCTAATGTGTCATTTAAGATCTTTTTTACATTGTTGATTTTTTTGTTTGGAAGATGTATCTATTGATGACATTCAGGTGTTAAAGTCTCCTATTATGACTGTACTAGAGGCCCAGTGCACGAAATTCGTACACTCAGGGGATCCCTCAGCCCAGCCTGCGCCCTCTCACAGTCCAGGAGCCTGGCTTCTGGCTGAGCAGCACACCCGCTGTGGGAGCACACTGACCACCAGGGAGCAGCTCCTGCGTTGAGTGTCTGCTCCTGGTGGTCAGTGCACATCACAGTGACCGGTCGTTTATTATATAGGACTAGTAGCCCGGTGCACAAAAATTTGTGCACTCAGGGGTAGGGGGTTAGGGGTGGGACCAAACCCCTCAGCCCGACCTGCACCCTCTGTCATGTTTCGGGACCCCGGCCACTCCGGGCCTAGGCACGGGCCTACAGGCGTGGGGCGGCCTGGCTCCTGAGGCCCCATTTTATCAAGAGAACAAAGTCGGCGTTAGTTACAGCCCTCACCGAACCCAGTACAGTGCATCTGTGCATACAACTGCCTCGTTCATGTGCCTGCTTCGCCCTACTGAATTACTAACGTCTTGAGGACATAGCTCTGTCTTATCCTGTTTTACCTTCAGTGCTTGGCCTGGTGCCAGGGACCTGAGAGCGTTTGCTGAGAGAATGAGTGAATGAATCAGTGAGTGAATGAGTGAATGAATGAGCGAGTGAGTGAATGAATGAGCGAGTAAGTGAATGAACAAGCAGCTACTGGGCGGGAACTTCTGCCGTGTTGCCACGGCAGAAGTTCCGGCCCCACTCCCGGCTGCTTGAAGCCCACCCGGGGAAAGTTCCTCCCCTGCTCCCAGCACCTGGGGCCCCTCTCCTGGCTGCATACTGAATCACTAACGTCTTGAGGACATAGCTCTGTCTTATCCTGCTTCACCTTCAGTGCCTGGCCTGGTGCCAGGGACCTGAGAGGGTTTACTGAGTGAGTGAATGAGGAATGAATGAGCGAGTAAGTGAATGAGCAAGCAGCTATGGGGCCGGAATTTCTGCCGCTTTGCCACAACGCAGCAGAAGTTCCAGCCCCACTCACAACTGCCTGATGCAAACCCCGGGAAGTTCCCGCCCTGCTCCCAGCGGCCCCACACCCCTCTCCCAGCTGCATAGTTTGCGCTGGGCAAAGGCGGCCCCGGTTCTCCACCTTTGCCCTGCCACTCAGCTCTTGCCTGCCGCCTGGGTTTCTGATCACTGTCAGGGGCAGGCAGCTTCTTCCAACCTTCCCCTTTCACCTCCCATCATTGTGCCTACATATGCAAATTAACCGCCATCTTTGTTGGCAGTTAACGTCATCTTTGTTGGCAGTTAATTTGCATATCGCCCTGATTAGCCAATGGGAAGCATAGCGGAGGTACGGTTAATAACCCTTTCTGTCTTTTATTAGAGAGGATTACTGTCGAACTCTCCCTTAAAATCCACCAAAATATCTTGTATGTATTTAGGTATTTCTATATTGGTTGCATATATGTTTACCAAGGTTATATCCTCTTGTTGGATTGATCCTTTTTGTATTATGTAGTCACCTTTTTTTGTCACTTTTATGGCCTTTGTTTTGAAGTCTATTTTGCCAGATGTATTTATTACAAACCCAACTTTTTTTTTTATTTCCATTTGCATGGAATATTTTTGTGTGCCTTCACTTTCATCCCGTGTGAGTCTTTGTTCTGAGGTGTGACAGCATATATATGGGCCATGTTTTCTTATTCATTCATCTACCCTGTGTCTTTTGATTGGAGCATTTAATCCATTTACATTTAAGGTTATTATTGATAGATACTTTATATTGCCATTTTTATTCTTTATGCCTATGCTACTCTCTCTATATATTTCTTCTTTCAGCAGTCCCTTTAACATTTATTGCAGTACTGATTTGGTGATAATGATCTTCTTTAGTCTCTTTTTCAGATCCTTGCTTTTCATTACCTTGAGTGCTTCATGCCATTGACTTCTGCTTGATGTGTTTCTGTTGAGAAATCAGCTGACAGCCTTATGAGGATTGACCTGTAGGGAACTGACTGCCTATAAGGTTCTCTTGCTGCCTTTAAGGTTGTCTCTTTGTTTTTAACCTTTGACATTTTAATTATGATGTGTCTTAGCATGGGTCTCTTTGGGTTCATCTTGATTGGGACTCTCTGTGCTTCCTGAACTTCTGTGACTTTTTCCTTCACCAAGTTAGGGAATTTTTCTGTCATTATTTCTTCATACAGGTTCTCTGTCCCTGTCTCACTTTTTTCTCTTTCTGATTCCCCTGTGACAGTGGTCAGCAAACTGCGGCTTGGCAAACCGCGGCTCACGAGCCACATGTGGCTCTTTGACCCCTTGAGTGTGGCTCTTCCACAAAATACTGACTCTTCCACAAAATACCAACTTCTGTGCATGGGCCACAAAGTTTCAGTCACATTGTAAGTGCACGCCCGCACATGGTATTTTGTGGAAGAGCCACACTCAAGGGGCCAAAGAGCTGCATGTGGCTCACGAGCCACGGTTTGCCGACCACAGCTCTAGAGCATTCTTAAAACCATTAATTTAAACTCTGTTTCTGATAAGTGCTGGCCTCCATTTTATTTAGCTTTTTCTGGAGATTCCTTCTGTTCTTTCACTTGAGGCCTGTTTCTTTATTTTTCTATTTTTGCTGGGGTTTTTTTGTGTTTTTTTTTCTATGTATTAGGTAGAATTGCCATGACTCCCAGTCTTGGTGGGGTGGCCTACTGTAGTGATGTCCTGTGGGGTCCAGTGGTTGCAGTCTCCTTGACCACCTGACCGGGTGCACTAGGGATGTCCTTGGTGTGGGTTATGTGGGTCCTCCTGTTGTAACTGTCTTTTTAAAAAAAATATATTTTTATTAATTTCAGAGAGGAAGGGAGAGGGGGAGAGAGAGAGAAACATCAATGATGAGAGAGAATCACTGATTGGCTGCCTTCTGCATGCCCCCTACTGGGGATCAAACCTGCAACTCATGAATGTGCCCTGACTGGGAATCAAACCGTGACCCCCATCTAGTTTATAAGGTTGATGCTCAACCACTGAGCCACACAAGCCAGACTATAACTGTGTCTTGATTGCTGTTGTACCATTCATGGGTGGGCTCGGCTCTTGGGCTGGCTGACTTTGAGGCTCAACCCTGACCACGTTTTGCAAACTGCTGTACAGATGTTGAGGGATCAAAACAAGACAAAAGTAGACCAAATCGAAAATAACATGAACAAAAACACAGAGATAAAGAATAAGAAAAGATAAAAGAGAAGGAAAAAATAGTAAAATACAAGAGGAAAAAGCATTAGAAAAGAAAGAAAAGAAATGAATTCAGGGCATAGGAAAGGAAAGAAGGAAAAGAAAATAATAATAAATAAAATAAAAATAATTATTTTTTAAAGTAATCTACTTATATGAAAACCCTGGGTGTAACATCACGACCCAAGGCGCGACCAACTGGAAGGAAGTCAGTCCTGCAGGGGTTGTCTTAGAAACAGCTGTACCCTCCCCCGAGCTGTTTCCCAGAGCTGTTTCCAGTAAGGGTGAGGTTTGAGGCAGGAAACGGCCCTCAGAGCGTGGAGGCAGATCTATTACCTTAGACTCTTGCTTCTGCATGTAAAAGTTGCGATAAGTTTTGAGGATCTGCGAACTGTAGGAGGTATAACTTATGATACATTTCATGAAGCTGCTAAACACCGAGGATTATTACTTGACAACAGTATCTGGAAAGATACGACTGACGATGCAATCATCCTTAATATGCCCAAACAACTACAGCAACTTTTTGCATGCTTATGTGTGTTTGGATGTCCTTCTGTTCAGACAAATTATAGAATGAGAATAAATCTCATTTTATTGAAGATTTCTGTTGGAAATTACACTGAAGAGAAGGTGCCTGTATGAACTGTGAAATGCATGCCCTTAACGAAATTCAGGAGGTATTCACATTGCATGGAATGAAATGTTCACATTTCAAACTTCATGACTATCCTTTATGAATGAATGCAAATACATGTGATGAATTGTATGAGCAACAACAGCAGAGGTTTTGATAAATTTACGGAATGATGAACAGTTGGTAGCCTTTCAGAGTATAACTTCAGCCATCAAAGAGCAAACTGTACACCCCAAATGCTTTTTCTTGGATGGTCCATGTGGTAGTGGAAAAACATATCTGTAAAAAGTTTTAACACATTATATTAGAGGTTGTGGTGGTACTGTTTTGCCCACAACATCTACAGGAATTGCTGCAAATTTACTGCTTGGTGGAAGAACCTTTCATTCCACATATAAATTACCCATTCCATTAAATGCAACTTCAATTTCTAGACTTGATATAAAGAATGAAGCTGCTAAAACCATTAAAAAGCCCCAACTTCTTATTGTTGATGAATGCACCATGGCATCCAGTCATGCTATAATCACCATAGACAGATTACTAAGAGAAATTTGAATATTGTATTTAGTGGGAAAGTTCTCCTTCTTGAAGGGGATTTTTGACAATGCCTCAGTATTGTACCGCATGCTATGCTATCAGCCATAGTACAAACGAGTTTAAAGTACCGCAATGTTTGGGTATGTTTCAGAAAGTTGTCTCTTACAACAAATATGAGATCAGAGGACTCTGCTTATAGTGAATAGTTAGTAAAACTTGGAGATGGCAAACTTGATAGCAGTTTTCATTTAGGAATGGTATTATTGAAATCTGTGAAATGATTTATAATGGATCTATTATTGAAGCTACCTTTGGAAATAGTATACTATAGATAATATTAAAAATATACCTAAACATGCAATTCTTTGTCCAAAAAAATGAGCACATTCAAAAATTAAATGAAGAAATTTTGGATATACTTGATGGAGATTTTCACACTATTTGAGTGATGTTGAGGGATCAAAACAAGATCATCATGCTATTGAGAAATCATCATGCTATTGAGAAATC